TGGGACCCACAAATAACTGAGAAATAACCTCAACTGATAAGGATGCTCTAAGGGTTCTTGGGGATTCAATCTTTATTAGAAAGAAGAATATGTTATAACGTGCCTGCACGCGGTGTGGGGGGCCTTGGGGTTGGGGATTCAACCTTTCTTGGGAAGGAGGTTATGTCATAACATGCCTGCACAGTGGTTGGTATTTGGGAGAAGAAACTAAGATTCGAATTTCGGCATCAATAGCGTAGGGATTATGTCCAAAGTGGACAGTTCCCTTATGCGCACCGATATTTGTCTCTGTCTATTGAGTCACCCAAACTTGCATTCACCTAAATACTTTGTTTGACCGGAATGTGAGGGCTCTTGAGGTTGAGGATGCAACCTTTGGGGAGAAGTGTATGTTATAACATGCTGCACAACATTTCATAAATCAAATAAAATGGTATTTAATTACACATCTATAGCATCATCAGCAGCAATAACAAGTAAAAACAAAAAACAACAATTTATGCTTTAAAAAAAAAAAAAAAAAAAAAAGAAGCGAATTGGTGTAATTGTGTCTACTTAGAACTTGTGGTGACTTTCTTTCTATTTTCTGGTACAATGAAAAGAAAAGAAAAAATCCAATAAATTATACATTTGTACACCAAAAGCATCATGGTGAAGCAAAAATCATAGAGAAGTTGGGATGATCTTCATAATAGTAATATTAACTGCAAAATCGATTAAATGATCTACATATTGAATATTCTTTACGGAACACATATTTAATAAACAAAACCTCACTCTTGGCAAAGGAAATTCTTGCAATTCTTACTAATAAATGATTTGTTTTTTTTTTTATATAGTAGGAAGGGGATACCCAAGATGGATTTACACTTTATACAAACATATTCACATTGCGCCACGAGGGCAAGCCAAGCATGTCATCTTCCAGGCTTCCTCTAATTTCATCTAGAAGCTCCTGTCTACATGCTATAAGAATGTTGTGTGCGGCAGTGGTAGAGACTCTAGACGCACAGAGAAAGTCCATTGCTTCATCCGAATCGCTTTCTATGTGAATCCTTCTGATACCTATGGAGTGGGCGATTTGAATTCCTTTAAGGATGGCCCAAGCTTCGGCTTCAAAGGGTGTGCAAGTTCCTTTAATAAATGATTTGTTGTCAATATTTTCATTGTATTATTGCATAAAACTCAACTATAAATCGAAATGTCATGCTCTACAAAGATATTGATTATCTTGGTGTCTTAGTCGTACATAAAACTATTCATGATTTCAATATTTACCATGGACCTCATTATCTAGGTTCATTTGCACCCTCAATTTAAGCCCCTACATTTGCAACTTGCATGTGTAATCTTTTCATGCTCCATTTGTGCTTAAATTCACCTTTCCTATTAGTACATGTTTGATGAACCAAGATGTCACAAACCATTTGGTATCAACAAAATTTCCTAACAAGTACTAGCAAATTGATAACCATTTCCTTGGTGAAGTATGCTTGTGGAAAAGAGCCTCTCTCTCTCTTTTTTTTTCCTCAACCTACTGAAGTACAAAGAGTCAATACCGCCCCCACTGAAGCTCAAACCCATGACCTCCCATTTGGGAGAGACACTTCATGCCATTAGACCACAAGGTCTTGGTAATAAAAGATCATAGCTCTCTGAGATGTTAAAGAGGATAAATTACTCAAAGGAAAAAGGATTCCATATGGAATGGGCTCTTTGTGTTATCAAATTTCATATACTTGTTTACTTTTTATTGTAGAGATGAATTTTTATATTGTCGATATCTCGAAACATCAATGACATTTGAATTAACTAAGTAGAAATTGACAAATAATTTTTGATAATTAATTTGAAAGATTCACCCTAGCATTTCAAGGTTTTAGGTTTGATTATCCTTGGCAACTTTTGTTAGTTCTGCCTTGGAGTCGTTCAAACACATTAAATAAGCGTCAAGTTTAGGTACTTCTAAGTATTGAATGTGCACAACATATTACATACATGTGACAAAAACTTTATCATATCAACAAGATATAAGAAAAATAGTCAGTATTCATACTTTGTCATGATCATCCTTAACCCTTCAAACATTTTGGTGTAAAGGTAATGGTGTTATTCTAGCATTAATCACCAACATTTTGAAAAAAAAAAAAAAGGAGTAAACATTGACATTTTGAGTTATTAATTTGAGTGGGGTCCGCTTCTAATTGGATCGGGTTAAAATAGATTATGATTCTCATAGTTGAGATGGTGAATTTTAATATATTTTATGTTCAAATGGATAATAGATGAATGATAACTGATTCTCAAAGTGTATCATTTAGTTGGTTAAATAAAGTTTGGGAAGACTTTTAAGTAGCTTTTGTTACATATTGAAAAAGCATGTGAGTTTGCACTAGTATAAATACAATTCAAAATTTTAAAAGTTTGAATACACTTGGATTATTGGAAGTTTGATGTATATAATGAGTTGTACAAGGCCAAATATTGCCTTTACAGGGCGTTTGGTTGGAGAGGGGGAATTACGTGGGAAATGAATTGCAATTCCATTGGAGATGAATTACTGGTAATAAAGTGAAAATTTAAAAAGGAATGGGTAATTTTAACTCATCACTATCTTTTTTTCTCCCTAAAATCCCAGGAATTAATTTCATGAAAATGGGGGAATTGCAACTCCTTTCAACTAAACAAGGGAATTTTGTGACATTTGAAATTAGGTGGGAATTAAGTGGGAAGGGAATTTAAATTTCATTTAACCAAACGCTCTATTATGGTTAGTAAACTTAGAAGATATACTAATAATCCCGATGACCACTAGAGTAATAGTGATGGTGGTTGTTGGAGTATGCAATCGGTTAATCGAAGGTTTTTCTCGATTAACCGAAGTTTTTAAAGCTAAAGTTTCAAATATTTGAAATTATATATATATATATATATATATATATATATATATATATATATATATATATATATTCAATTAAAATAATACCTATAATAATAAATTCATAAGAAAATATACAAACACAATACCATAACAACACTACAGACATAAAAGCACACATTATAAAGTCCAAACAGCAATATATATATATATATATATATATATATATATATATATATATATATATATATATAATGCCGGTTAATCGATACTTTTGAACTTAATTAACCATTCACTAAAATTTTGTAATTCCTTTAACCATTAATTGAACTGAAGTTTTTCAGTTAAAGAACAGTTAACCGAAATTTACACACCCGACCCCTAGGTGTGGTAGTTTGGTGGTGACTGTGGTGATAATAATAAATTAATAATATGGAAACTAAAAAAGAGATGAGAGAGAAGATAAACATAGGAAAATAACGAATTCGGAAAATATTTTTTGACTAAAAATCTAGGAAGATATTTTTCTCCAAATTGAGTATTTTTTCCGTTGACTAGAATGAATATTTTTCGTTGACTTTATTTTCCTTGAATACTCAAAAACAGGAAAATCCAAAAAAATGACTTCCATAAGTCATTTTCTAGTTTTCCAATTTCGGTTTGAATTGCTAGTTAAAAATTTATTTACTTATTTATTTTTGTAAATTATATTTCTTATTAAAATAGTCTAAATTCAACAATTATTTTATTTTATTTTCCTAGTTTTGAATCGTAACCAGAACCGCCCATGTTGTTTCGATTCGGTTAGTACCGTGTTCAGTTAGATTCGAATTGAACCGTGATCATCCATACAGATAAACAATTTAGCATTTTGGAAGAATAATTTGTTGGAGAAAAAAAATAAAAGAAATACTTATTTTTAATGGTAAAAATGCCCATCTAACACAAAAGTCGAAAAACTATTACTTTTACATAACTGAGGGGACAAATGTGAATATATATGAATAACTCAAGAAAGAAAAATGCTATAAGCATATAATTTAGGGAGAAAAGTGTCATTTTCTCTTAATAAAATTTTCATCAAGCTAGTTAATCATAAAAAAATGAAATAGGATATATTTAACAAGTTAAATAAAATGAAATGAAATAAAAACTAATGGTATATTTTTTCAACTGAAAAAAAAAAGGTATAATCTTTCAACTGAAAAAAATATATATAAGGTATAATCTGTATAATCTCTTATGTATATATTTAGTTTGAGTAAGTGTTGTCAGATATTATCTCACGTGAAATATAAATATTTTTTTGATAAAAATTTGTGTGAAATCGTCTCACGGGTCTCAATACGTGAGATGGGTCAAATCCTTGATTAATGAGATTAAAAATCTGATACATTAATCAAAGATTTGAATCATTAATTAAAATTTTGACCCGTCCCAACCCGTGAAGTTTGTTATCTTATTTTTTATTAGTTTAGATTAAGGTATTCACAGGCAAATGAAATTCGTAATTTGAAAATGCAATTATAGATGGATTTAGAAATGAATCATTCAAAAAAAAAATAGAGAAAATTGTAATTTATGTCCGTCTATAATATGTCAATTATCAATGTTACCCCTCAATTTTCAAAACGGTACATATATTGTCCCTCCCGTACTTTACGGGAAGTACCATTTTAAAAAATGAGGGACAACATTTACACTACGGGAGGGTACTATATGTACCGTTTTAAAAATTGAAGCGTAACATTTACATCATTAATAATTTAAGGGTGATATTGATAATTGACATATTATGGAGGAGTATAAATTACAATTTTTCCAAAAATAATAATAATTACGCGGAAGAAATCCAAACGAAAAAGAAAAGAAATGGAATGAAGGGCATTAGTGTAATTTGGGAAGCAGAATTATGACAAGAAAGGAAGGAGAGGAGAAGCTATGAGAGGTACTGGTGAGTTTGCGGAGATGGAGATATCGAGAAACCAAACACGCTTCTCCTCTCTTCTTTCCCAATTCCTCTTCCCAAAATCAATTTTACAAAAAAACAATTAAATAATTAAACCCTCCAAACAAAACATATTAAAATTAATTAATTCCCCAAAAAAAAAAAAAATACCATCTCTCTGCCTTTTCTCTCTCATTTTCTCATCCAAACACATCGCACGCAGTAGAGAGAGAAACTGTGTTTTAGAGAGAGAGAGAGAAGATCTCATCATCTTCTTCACAATATCTTATTGTATGGCGTTGTTTCTTTGATTAGATTTTCCCAAACCCTGATCTTGTTTTCTCTCTCTTTAGAGAAAAAGATCTGATTTTTTTTTTTTAATTTTTTTTTTGGTTTAACTTGGCGTCGTTGGCGATGCGGAGAGGCAGAGCAGCCGCAGCGGCCAAGCAAGCGGCGGCGGCGGGGACTCCGCAGCCTGGAAATGCCAACGGATCTGGAGGATCTCAGGAGATTAGGTTCCGGGGAGTGAGAAAGAGACCGTGGGGGAGATTCGCCGCCGAGATCAGAGACCCTTGGAAGAAGACCCGGGTGTGGCTGGGCACCTTCGACTCCGCCGAGGATGCCGCCAGAGCTTACGACGCCGCCGCTAGAACTCTCCGGGGCCCCAAAGCCAAGACCAACTTTCCGTTGCCGATTAATTCTCACATACCCCCATACCCACACCACCAATTTATTCAAACCTCAAATCCCCACGACCCCTTCATCGATCCCCGGATGTACAGTCAAGACCACCAGATTATTTCCCAGCGCCCCACCTCCAGCGGGATGAGTAGTACAGTGGAGTCCTTTAGTGGGCCTAGGCCGCCTCCTCGGCCACAGACGACAACGCCGCCGGCGATCCCTTCTCGCCACCATCCCCGGTCGCCGCCGGTCGTTCCCGATGATTGCCACAGCGACTGCGATTCTTCTTCCTCCGTCGTCGAAGACGGGGACTACGAAAACTTCGCCTCCTCTTCTTTCAGAAAGCCGCTACCTTTCGACCTCAACATGCCGCCGCCGATGGACGGCGTCGATGCCGAAGCCAACGATCTTCACTGCACAGCTCTATGTCTCTGACGGACGACGGCGGCGCCGGCGGCTTCCTTATCATCAATGGAAGCCAAATTGATTGCGTAGTATTTACTTGATTTTTTATTTTCCTTTTTTTTTTATTGCCGGAGAAAAAAGCTGGTGACAAAAGAAAATCCCAAATCATCCTTTAGAGCTAAGATTAAACTACGATGATAAAAGGGTCAGGTTATGAGTCTGTTGTTTGAAGAGAATTCACTTTTTTAAAAATTTTAATTTACTTCTGAGATTATAATTCTGATGATAATCATGATGGGTTGGATCAGTGTGTGTTGATATATATATTATCTTGTTATATCTTCTTCAACTCTCTGGATAAAAGACAGGAGGATTATTGTTGTTGAAGTCGAATTTATCATATGTATTATATCAACACATGATGTAAGCTTTGTGGGAACATTCTGCTCTTACTATGTTCCCCAGTTTCTGGTCCATTAGGGTTGCTGCTGCTTGTATGTATCAATGTATCTTTTGCTTCTGCTCCTTTAATGTAACAATCAACTCTATCTATTAATGCTAGTTTAGATCAAACTAGGGTTCTTGGTTTCTTGTTTGTTTGATCTGCTAATGTTTTCCTAGATTGTCTTGTGTGGGTGCAGAAGTCGAGATTTTCGTGTTGTTAAAGTTGTGAGCTTTAGTGTTCTTGCTTGTCGAATCTAATGAACCAACCATGTTCTTCACTAGGGTTCTTCGTTTCTTGTTTGTTCGATCTGCAAATGTTTTCCTAGATTGTCTTGTGTGGGTGCAGGAGCTGAGATTTTCGTGTTGTTAAAGTTGTGAGCTTTAGTGTTCTTGCTTGTCGAATCTAATGAACCAACCATGTTCTTGATTGTCTTGCATAATGATACTAGGATTTGGTATGGATGTGTGTTTTGATCTGTTTGAATGTTTGGGTACTCCATGGATGTTGGGAAACATGTCTGTTGCTTTGTGATTTCAGAGGGTGTTTGAAACATTTGGCAATTAGAGTTGATCTGATATGAATTTGACCTGTTGTGTATGCTATTCATGGAATTGAAGTGAAAGATTTGCATCATGTTATTGGGGATGAGGGCTTTGTAGAAGATTAGATATTGCAGGTCATATTTGGTTAGTGGTAAGTGACCTGCAAGCCACCTAGTTGTTGTGCCTAATGACTAGTTTGGTAGTAGTATTGTTTAAGACCACAAGTGTGTTTTGTTCACATTGTGTGTGTTTATGTTTTAGGTGAGAACCTACGTGTGTGCATTGTGTTATAGATGACATGAACGGTCAACTAATCTAGATAGGGCTCGGATTGGTTCTCAGGTTCACATGTTAGTATAGGTTCTGGTGCGATTTTCCTTTCCCATAAGGTTGTGTGGACATGTCAGAGCCGTAGGATGAGCTGAGATCAAACGGGTGAAAATAAATGAAGAGGAGAAAACACGCGGTGGCAATTTTGTAATTTTATGCAACATGTATATTTCAGCAGTACATTACGTGCTAGTGTGGGATGCACTTATAAGTGCTTTGTGGTACATTTTTGAGTGAATACGTGATACATCGAAATTTATAACGCTAGTTGTAAAGTAAGTCCAACATTTTGCTATCCATCGAAATCTATAATACTAGTTGCAAAATAAGTCCAGCATTTTGTCATTCATCAAAACCTATTACACTAGTTGCGAAGTAAGTCCAACATTCTTTCATCCATCCATCTAAAGATAATGCGACTTTAAAGCATTATTTGAGCCAACTATTGCTCTACCCTTGTATGCTCACTATTTCCCATTTCCCTTGCTTACAAGCTCCTTGTGTCTAATTAATTATTGACTAATATATGGGGTTTTATTATATACTATAGGTAAAATTGTAATTTATGCCCCTTTATAATATGTCATTTATCAATGTCACTCCTGAATTATTAGTGGTGTAAATGTTGTCTCTCAATTTTCAAAACGGTACATATATTTTTCTATACTAAATTGTAAGTATTTTTTTTAATACAATAAATTTAAATTTTAAAATAAGGACAATTAAATTGTTGACAAATAATGAAAAATTAAAATGTTAGAGAAGTTCCACAAAAGATTGTGGTCTTCCTTGATTTGAGATTTGAGATTAGGAGATTTGAGAGTGAATCAACACAAAGTACAAAACAAAACTTATTGACATTTGACTCTGGTGTGGCCTACTACCTACTATCTTCCTTATCAGCTTGCATTCTCATTTGCATTCATTGTTCTTTTTTGGTTGGCTTTGTACTTCGTAGAGTTTGTACATTGAGTTCATCTCCTATATATAAATGAAGAAATTATTTGATTTGGATGTTATGCATGATTTTTGGGATGTATTATTATTATTATTATTATTATTATTATTATTATTATTATTATTATTATTATTATTGTTGTTGTTGTTGTTGTTGTTGTTGTTGTTGTTGTTGTTGTTCTCAGAAACACACATATATAAGTCTTCCATGTGAAGGATATTTATGTCATTTGAATACTTGTTTCGTTTTTATTCCTTAAATCAATCAAACATTGTAATACAATTCATAAGTCTATTCTTTCCGTGAATCAAACAATTGAATATAATTTATATTTTATTCTTTATCTATTACATTCCCTATGAAATAACATTACTATTGCTTCAAAATCCATTCCGTAAACCAAACATGCAGTCAAAGTGTATGAGAATGCTAGCTAAACCATCTGGTTTAATGAAACTAATAATTCTAACAAAATGGTTATTAAGGTTATTTATTTGAACCGCAAACTTTCTAATTTGTTTAAAGTGTTTTCTCAAGTTAAATTAAATTTATTCTTTTTACTAAATTTTAAATTAAAAATTAAATTTATTTTTTAATATTAACTTAATCATCTCTTGTAGATTTAAATAATTAAATGTGCAAATATGATTTGTGGTGGGAAAAAAAAAAAAAGAAAAAAAACTCGGGTGCTGAACAAGAATACTCAATTATTCTTCCCAAGAATACTCAATTATTGTATTGCCTAACACTAGCATAAATTATGTATGTATCCCCTACATATTTTTGTTTAGCTTTTTTCTTTTTCTTTTTCTTTTTGTGCATCCGCCCCGATCAAAGCGGATATTATCTAACTCTTATGAATTTGGCTCTGCCCGCATAAGCAAGTAGGAGCCCCAACAACTCTTCAAGAGGATCCTCAAGAACCGTCGTACCATAGCCTATAGTTTGACCAATGTTCACGAGGAAAGCAGCACACATATTACCTTCCCTCAAGACATGTATGAAGACCACCACCTCAAGGAGATTTTGTTTAACTTACGATGTTTTACCCCTATTAGTCTATTACCTCTAAATATTTTGTTTAACTTATGATGTGTTATGAGATGCTATTACATTTTTTAGTACTATTGACTATTACAAACTAGTATATGTTTTATACTTTCTTTATTTATTGCAGCTCAAAGAGTCACTATCTCACCACCGAAATTCAGTCCCATGACCTTCCCTCAAAGAGAGCCACATAGATACTACATGAAGTCACTTCTTAATCACATCCATACATATAATTAAACCAATTAATAAGGTGATCGACCTTTTTAACGCATCAAGAAAAACTCCTAAACAATTCGAGTGGTTGTACCAACTCTACTACTCTACCAAGTAGCAACTAACAATTTAACTCATTATGCACCCAAAAAAAAAAAAAAAACAATTTAACTCATTATACATGAGGTATAAATTATCTCCAAAATATCCATGAAAAAAAAAAACAAAGATTAACAAAATAATTTAGTTCTCCAGCTTGTTAAAGTATATCGTCGACCTCATGAACCCCACCCCAAGGCTCATGAAGGAGGGTAAATCTTGAGTTGACAAAGTGATTTTAGGTTTCTGTCGCATGTACACTTATGTGCACAATAGGTCTTCACCATTACCGATTGGCCAAAGTTCTCCATGACTCAAGTTTTTCACCATTTAAAATAAAATTAAACGTTGATTGGACTACGACTTGAACTCTCTCCATCAGCGCATAATGCTCGATTTACATCATATCTTTAATCTCTACATACAATAATGATTGATTTATGTCTTTAGCCCTTTAAGACTTTGCTTCTTAGGGCATCCTCAAAAGTGTGGAGATTTTGAGGAGATTTTACATGTGTGATTAGAAAAGAGAAAATGGAAGTGAGGAAAAAAAGAAAAAAGAAAATTAAAATATGAAAAAAAAAAAAAAAAAAAAAAAAAAAAACAAACAAACAACCAAACAAAAACTAGAACTACGCGGCCAGGTGGGCGCGGGAGTTGCGCCTCACCCTCTTCACTGTGGGTCACACCCTTTTGCAAAATTCTCATTTTTACAGGACAACCCCATCCCCTCTCTCTCCTCTCTCCTCTCTCCTTGTCACTTTTCCCTCAAAATCTGTGCACAATTCCCCTATTGGATTGCCCTTAGAGCATCCTTAACAGTGGGGAAAATTGGTGGGGAGAATGTAAGAGTGATTAGGAAAGAGGAGGTGGGAGGGGAGAGAAAAAAGAAAAAAAAAATTAAAGCAAAATATATTTTAAAATTAAAATAAATGAATAAATAAATAAATAAAAGAAAACAATCAGGCGTGCCTGATGCGCCAATGGGCGCGTGCATTGCATGCGCCCATGTGGCTTCAACTGTGCGCTCAACGCGCACAGCTCTTCAGGCTTCTCTGACCAGCCTCTGACCAACACTGTTCCAAGCTTTGGGTGTTTGCAGAAGCTCTCCACATTTTCTCTCACCTGAGTCTCTCTTCTCCACCAAGGATGCAAAACCTTAAAATGCGTGAAAGCTCTCCTTATTCTCCTCTGATGGGCATGCTCTTACCACACAAACTTTTCAATCATTATTGTGTGGACCATATTTTGTATACTGTAAAATAATGTACATTCAGTACAAAAATACTATACATTGTATTTAGGGGATGTACATTATTTATATATTAAGTGTATATTATATTATATAATGTACACTCAATATAAAAATAATATACATTTAGTATATTAAAAATGTACTTTTTATTATGGTCCATACAACATTGCAATAATTTGTCCAAACTTTTTACATTTTCTAACATTGGAGTATTGGACCCTTAATCTTTTCAGCCCAACTTACACTCCTCATTGGGTTTGTAGGCCCAACATGTGTCCCTCCTTAGATATTAGGCCTACCATACACCCATCCCCGCCTCTTTATGCCTAACATGCGTCCCTTATTGGCCCCTTTGGTCCAACTTACACCCCCTAGCCCTATGGTCTCAACCTAT